CCCCGGCGCCGGCCCCTGCCACCCCCCCGCTGGCTATGGTAGGCCAGCTGCCAGTATGACTGGGGGGACGGCCGACAGGACCCATGGACTCGAGGGAACGCTGGGTCATGGCGCCACTGATGACAGCATCCTGGAAGGAAGGAAGTGGGGGGTGACTGGGCCTGGGTCCCTGATCCCCGGGGGCACCAGCAGGAGCCAGGTGGGGTCTTCAGGTGGAGCCTGGGACTGGAGCATTTATTGGGAGCCCCAGAAGCCCCCCGGAGTCAGAGAGACCACTGGGAGGGGCTGGCAGACGCCCAAGACACCCGAGGTTGAGCATCCTCAATGGAGAGGGTCAGTCACTGCCACCCCACATTCCTGGGTCCCTAGGGGGAGGAGGGTCTCATGGTGCAGGTTGGGGAACCTGAGAGGAACCCACTGGGAGCTGGCCTGGTGGTTAAGAGAAGGCCAGAGCGTAGTTGGCGCTGTAGAGAGGGAACTGGCCAGGGAAGGGAGGGGGGTCCCTGTCCCCGGATTCAGGCCAGGCTGGCAGGAAGGGTGCTGACCTGGGAGGCCTGGGCACCCACCCGGGCCCTGGGGAGACTGAATCAGCTGTAATGGGAGGTAATTGCCCCCTCTCCACCCTGAGCCCCCGCCTCATTCAGACACGTTCAGTGTGAGGTTTCCCTCCCAGGTGGGGGATCTGTCCCCACAGGCCTGACAATTTGGGGAGGGGGATTCTTCCCACACTAGGGGAAGAGGCAGGCCGGGTGGCCTCCCCTGCTTCCGTCTCCAGCCCAGTCTCCTGGCCTTGGGCCCACCCAGGTCGTGTGGTCCAGCCCCGACCCCACTCTGCAGATGCCCCTGTGGGGAGTGCTGGTGGGTCGTCCCCCCCAAGGATGGTGGTTCTCCTGTTCCTCCAGCTGCTCTGGCTCCCTCACACATCACTGCGCAGACGAGACCCACCCCCTCAAACAGGACCCTTACCTCTTTGGTGCCCCAACTCTGGGTCCCAGAAGTAGTGCTCGGTGGGGGCCTGGACATCCTCAGTGAAGTGGACGTTGTAATGCTTGTGCATGGTGGCCGGGCGGCTGGACGCTGGGGGCCTGCTCCTGGTGCGGGAGGAAGAGGACAGGCTCAGCACCAGCTCCTTGGGCATGAGCCGCGGGAGCTGAGGTTGGGGTCCCTGCCCCACCCCAGGGCGGCTTGGGCAGGCGAGATGCTGGGTTCCTGGGTCACCTGGGGGGACGCCCTTCAGAGAACAGTGAGGGGCGGGATGGGGAATGGCCAGGGGCTAATTTGGGGTTGGGGGTAGCTGAGGGGGAGCTCCTGGGGCTTTCCAAGTGGCCAGGACACTGCCAAGCAGACGTGGCCTGGGGACGCGGGCCATCAGTGTGGTGGCTGAGTGACATTAGGGGTCGCTAAGGTGGGAACCACTGGGGGAGGGGGAGGCTGGGGCGCTCGGAAGGGACATGGAACTGGTGTTTCTCGGGGAACAGTCGAGAAACAGGGTGACTGAAATTTCAGAGCTGGGTACACTGGGGGGGAGGGACTGAATGACGGGGTGGAGGGAGGGGAAGCCTGGGGGAGCAGTGAAATCGCGGGGTCTGATTCGGGAAGAGGCTCAGCAAACTCAGGCGAGAGGGGTGCTGGGTTTCCAACGTGAGGGGCGGAAGGATGCTGGTTGGGGGCAGGGACGGAAGTCCGAGGGGCAGAGGAAAGGGGGGTGCTGAGGGCCGGGGCCTGCCCACCGCCCACCTCGCGGCCGGCCCGTGCCTGACATACCTGCCCGCGGCCCCGCGGCCCCAGCTCCCTGCCGCCGGCCCCGCCGGACTGCCGGCGCAGGCCCAGCCGCGGGGAGGCCCAGCCGGCGCCCGCCCGACCGGTTTGCCCGTC